TACGTTTTCGCAATACATATTGACCTAAATTTCAGTGATTAATTTAATGTTCCCTCGGTGCGTAAGCTAGTAATATAATTTGTACTTTTTCATCTATACTAATATTATAAAGAGGAAAGATTTATTTTTTGTTTGTTTGTATCGAATATGCTCCGAAACTACTGAACCGTTTTAGATGGAAATTGGTAAGAAGATAGTTTGAGACCCTGGGAAGGCCGTAGGATAGTTTTTCTCTCGGAAATCATCCCTTAAGGGGGTGAAAATGGGGATGAAAGTTTGTATGGGGAAGCAACCCATACAAACTTTCATCCCCATGATAATATTTGAGCAAAATCTAGTTTTGAAACTAGTTGCCTAGATGATTAATCATTATCATCGCTGTATGTGTTTTATATATGTTTGTATAATTTTATTATTATGTGAAATATTTGCTATAAGTTGACGTAATATTGTTTTTGCGACTTATTTATGGGTTTCTAGAAAATTACCTACTCAAGTTTTTCCTTTTTTATATTTTTATATTATGGTATAACTGCTTTTTTTATGTATTTTTATATGTTACTAGCAGAACCCGCGGCTTCGCCCGCGTTCGATCTACAAAAAAAAAACTCTTTTGCTTTATGTTATATAGCGACTCACCCTTAAAATACCTAATTAATAACAATGATTTTTTGGTTTTTCAAACAATGTATTTAAACAAAAAATAAATGTAAGGTAATGCCGTGGACGTTTATTGTAAAAAATACAAATTGTGACGAAACTTTTTTTAATAATATAAAGTTCAAACTTAAAAATACAGACTTAATTCAAATATTTTTATGATTCCTCAAGCATTTTAGGACAACGGGTTATAAAATTACATTTAGAAAATACATCTATTTACTTTATATTTATCTAAATATATATATATATATATATATATATATATATATATATATATATATATATATATAAGGGTATCGGTTTCTCTTATATTATATCTTATAAAAACTAGTGATTATCAGATTCGGCTTCATATCCTGAGGTCAAGGGTCATCGGTACTTCTGGAGAAAGTCTGAGCGATAGCCTGGAATCAGAAAATTACTGGTGTTTCACCCGTGAGACTCTGAGAGCACGTGGAACCGTCGGTCCTGTAATAGATCTCTTCCTGAGACTTATCAAATGATGCGTGATTTTTTAAATTTTTTATGCAATAACCTAACCTAAGATCAATATATATAATTGTAAAAAAATATCTAGTTCCAAAAACTCAAAATTTAGTGTAATTTGTTTTAAATACGAGTAACATACCGATAGGGATACCTACTTTAAATGCCCACCTTTTCATGCGTTTGTTTTGACATTAAAATAAAAAAATTAAATTAAAAGAAAAATTGGTTTGTAGCAAAATCTTCCAAAGTCACATTAACTTACATAGTAACAAGTAATTAAGCTAATGAAAGTGTGTTAAAATTACTTTCATATCATATGTCCAGCCTTCCTCGATGATGATGATAATGATAACGATTATGATGATGATGAAGGATTACAAGAAATAAAAAATATATTTTATTTCTATTGTATAATTATGTATATTCATTTGTTTTTTCGAAATATATTCTCTATTCAACTTTTACTTTGTTACAATTACATAATATACGTATTAATGATAAAAAAAATAATGATTAGACGTTTAAAATATTTTTCTTATGTAAAAAGAAATTATTTTTGTTAAAATATCATTAAATGATATCTTCAAGATATCAAAGTGGCCTTAAAACGGGGCAGCTGTGTTTTTTTAAGACATTAACACACAACACCATCTAGTTCCATGGTAAGCTACGAGGCTTGTGCTATGGATACCAGATCGTGCATACACTACACATATATAACTTAAAATACATACATATTATAAATATAAACACCCATGACATGAGTACAAACATTCGTGCTGATCACACAAATTAATGCCCCCAGCTTGATTGGAACCCGCTACCGCTGGCACAAGTAGGGTAACCATAAACTGAGCCAAACGTGACGTCGAAACACGTGAACATGTTTGATTACTAAGATCTGACAAACGCGTGATGCGCAAACCGGAAGCAATATGTAAATCACCGTTTCCAGACAAATACAAGAAGAGAATACTAAAATTGTTTCTAGACTTTCACCATGTTAGTTGCATGTTGTTTAAATGCGTTCTTATTATCTCAAATAGGGAAACTATGGTATTTAACATACATAAAATTACATATTAGGTACTTTGTTTAATTACGTAACGTGTGTTAAATAAACATTTCGTATAAGCATACGCGTTGAAAGAGAAAGTATTTTTGACTGGCTTTAACAAAAAAAAATAATGAGTTTCTCGAACTGAGTGTATGTTTTTTTTGGTGTTTGTTACGTGATAACTTCGCTAACTGTAAATGTATATAAGATTTTTTTAATGAATAGGTTCTATCTTGAGTGGTTCCGTATTTATAATGGAGTTATAGGCATATGTAACTATTATATTGTGACCTATATTAGTTGGTACTACAATTGTCACCTCCAGGTAAATTTCTAAGAAATTAATTAAATTTCTAAGAAATCTATTGTTAACTGTAACGCCGGCGTGTACGCGGTCGTTGAGGGATTAAGACGAATAAATTCTGCTGTTATCGCATAATAAATATAATCAAATCTAATATGTATATAAATATCTCGTGTCACAGTGTTTGTGGCCGCACTCCTCCGAAACGGCTCGACCGATTTTAAGGTTTTTTTAGTATACTTGATAGGTATGAGAATAGGCCGTAAATATTCTTCAACCTCTAACCCCCACCCCATATTTTTTATTCATAGCAAAACATAAATCCAAAGAGTTTTTTTTTATAGATTAAACGCGGGCGTAGCCGTGGGTTTTGCTAGTATTAATATAAAATGACGTTTCCATATAAATCATTTAATACACATAATATTTTATAAATAACGCTATAACATAAACTCTAATACATAAATATGAATTAATTTGCAGTTTGCATAAATTTTTAAGACTTCGATTATCGTGTGTAAGTTGAAAATTTCACTTCACTTTCTGTTTCTTCCGGCGTTGAGATAATATAGTACACTTTATAAGATTCTTAATACTTTCCTGTTTGATAGATTGCGTAAGACAATCTATTTTAGATTTGTGAATTATTGTTTAAATTTGAAGCGGATAAAAAAATTTGTTCTGTTACATAATAGGTAATTGGAATAAGAAGTCGGCTGCGTTCAAATTTATTATAAACTAGCGACTCAACCTCGCCCCGCTCGGGTTCGTCCCTACTTACGTTTTAGAACGTTTAGTGTAGATTTCTTAGAGATGAGATATTTTCCCGCTTTAAAAAGTATCCTATATTTAATATTAAAAAGTATCCTATATTGACCCGGATAACTAGCTACCATCATGTCGAATTTCATCAAAACCCCTCCTGTGGTATTTCCGTGATGTGGTCATAGACAGACTGACAGAAATAAAATCTATAGATTCGGCTCTATATCCATAATGATAATAATGACTATTCAATAGGAATATCAAAAAAAATATTCGATGTACAGGATATTTTTTAATCTGCATGGCAGCCTTTATGAAATTCGCCATCTTGTTTTTCTATTAGTTTTTGTTATAGCGGCAGTAGAAATACACAATTTATGAAAATTTCAATTCTTTATCTATTACGGTTCATGAGATACAGCCCTCTGATAGATGCACTGACGGACGGACGGACAGCGGATGTTTAGTATGTAGTTCCGTTGGCACACTTCGGGTAATAATATATTTTTAAAGGGTTTTTGTTTAATGATTAATCGTTTTACTACTACTAGCTACCATATAGAAATGGTCACGTTTGGAGATAATAGATTATGATAGTATTCTTGATAGGGGCCGCTGGGGGCGGAGTAGCTTTTAGGTATAACAAAATACCTTTTTCGCTTCAGCTACCTGTGATATTACACCATTAATCATGTTTGTACGTTTTGTTTTAACAAACACCTTGTATAAATACTAGCGACTAACCCTAGCTTGCTTTCTAATACAAACTTTCATCCTCATTTTCACCCCCTTAAGGGATGATTTCCGGGATAAAAAGTATGCTATGTCCTTCCCAGGTTCTCAAACTGTCTTCTTACCAAAATTCATCTAAATCGTTTCAATAGATCCAGAAATTATCCCCTATAACCCTACAAACTCTCAAACTTTACCTCTTTATAATATTAGTATAGCTATCGAATATAGACTATTAAATACATGTTTTTTTTAATAACACAGTAGGTACATCCAATTACATAAAGAGCAGGAGCTAAGCTGTGTCGTTTAATTTAACCGAAAAATTCCTTTTAAGAAACCGTAAAATTGTCAAGTAACCTTTACTAGCCGCATCAGTTAATTGACATAATTACATAACAACGCGAGCGCGAAATTAGTATCGAATCAACGAATTGAGAAAACGAGTTGCTTAAAACGTCGATACACTCACCGTGTATTCGTTGTATTCGTCTATATTTGAATTGGAGATCATCGAGCGTGGGCGATTGTTATTATTGAATATATAATTTTATAGCTATACGACTCTAACGACACTGATAGCAAAATAAATGTTACCGCCGTTTTCCCACTTCTGACATGGATGACCTTCGCTCAAACTCAACTGACGCCTACATTCTACGGTCCTTGTTTATTATTGATTCGCTCGCCGCTCTACTTGAGTATTATTTACCTCCTTGTCACCATATTTACATACATCTGCGGTGTATTTGTAGGGCACGTTGATAATAATCGGTTTTATTGCGCGAGCGCATGCCGCCGTGAGTCATAGGCGAGCGTTTTGCGCACAATGCCGTCCGAACAGTCCAGTCTCGTCGCGGCATACTTAGAGGACATACATATCACTTAAGTCACGCATTTGCGCTAACGATAATTGATATTTACGAGAGATTGTTGAGATTTTGTGAATTAAAACTTTACTGTGGCAAGTTCTGGTGGCCTGCAGTGAAGATGACTGCGGTGAAGAAAGCGTTGGCCATGCGGCAACTGGATTCCATGTTTGGTACTATGACCTTAGAGGGAGAGGGCCGCCACTCTCCATTAGTCAGCTCGACGGTAGAGCACGATCCACATTGTGATGTCCACGGTCGGTACAGCACGCCGTACAGGTCGTCTCTTTACCTGCACAGTCGGGAGTCGACGCCGTATAGAGAGTGTATATCTCCAACTAACGGCCTCATCATCAGGTCTGTATGCGATAATAGAAATAATAAATGTGTTGTGAAAAATGCGCTTTCTAACGATAAATATGATAGCAGGCGTAGGGGATCTCTGGGTCTATCGGGATCACCTGCACGGGAAATGGAACATCCTTCGTCTTTTCCGAGTATACTTCGTCGAGATCGACAGAGTCCCTGTCAGACGCCCCCGAGACGTGACACGCCGAGTCCGACCCAAAAATACGGTTCGAAAAGACACTCAATGGGCTCATTCCCCAACCTCTCCCGGGGCAATGTGATCAATTACAACAGACGCGACTCAGTAAGCAGTACCGGCATTCGAGATATGAAAAGAGATTACGTGGGCTCGATGAGTTCACTGTCGAGAAAAAGCTCCATAGATACCAAAAAGTCGTCAACGGATTCTCTGGAGAATTGGCACATAAATTGGGACTCCGATCGACACAATTCCATCTCATCGTTGGCGCATGACGACGGACTCTCGTATGGACACAATAAGGTAACTGTACTAAACAGTAACTCACTGTTCTATGTGTCATATTAACAGCATCTCTTTGATGACCCCCACACACATGACAAACATCGAACCCGTATTCGTTTTTTTTGTCATGTATTGCAGTCACCAATGTTATACCTATTACGCCACTGCGGTGAGATCATATCTTTGAATTCTAAATTTTATTCAGTCATAATTCACACTTTTTTATTAGGTTGAATCAATAAACCGTTAAATTAGTATAATATAGATACTTATTAATATTTTTTTTTGATATACGCATATAAGGCATTGTTGTGCATTCTCGCATGCAATATAATTGAGCAGTGTTCGATCCGTACGTCGACTTATGGATAATTATTTTACACGATTAGATGTAAAACCGTTCTAATGATCGGCTTCTTTTTGCACCGTTATATAGTTAACGAGCGTTACGATCAGAACGTACGTATATACGTTAAGAGCGTATGCTGGCTTTGTTTATAAACCAACACGCGATACTAATATACGTAATTATTTCTTGTTATATTTCAATTGAACAGCTCTGAGTGCACTCTCGCAATAATTATTGAATGCCAATGAACTACTTGCTACTGTTAATCCAAACTGTAATCAGAACAATTATTAGCTGTTTGATCTTAGCTAAAGCAAAGACTTCGTGTTAAATCCCACGATTTTTTTTGATCGGAATCATTTAAGGTAAACAACTAAGCCCAATAAAGAGTCGTGACGCAACGATTATATACAGTTAGAACAACATTTACTATGAATAATTTTATTGTGACCACATTTTTTTTTAATTTAATCTGTATTAATATCGCGCCACTTATTCCATAACATTAAAACACTATAAAATGCCTATTAAGGACTCATACCATACGCTGTGTATATTATTTTGTTTGACATATATGTGTGTTGGGTTGAATAAATGAAATATGTTGGGACAATAACACACAGCACCATCTAGTTCCATGGTAAGCTACGAGGCTTATGTTATGGATACCAGTTAGTTGATACACTACACATACATATATAACTTAAATACATATATATTATAAATAGAAACACCCATGATTGGAGTACAAACATTCGTGCTCATCACAAATGAATACCCCCAGCAGGACTCGAACCCGCGACCGCTGGCACAGCAAGTATGGTCACTACAAACTGAGCCAAACGTGTCGTCAAATATATCATTAATATACATATTATTTATAAAGGCTTTGTTAATCTGTTGTGAGATAAGATCAAAATGGAATGTCTTCGCTAGGCCACTATACTTGGTTGTATGAACTCGACTCGATGCCACCAAACATGGTTACGTCGACTGGCACTAAATCATGTCAATATTTACATGTCTGTCAGACAACGATGTGAGACAGCCGAAATTATTGTACGACGTATATAGCAGTCGCCAATTTAAAGAGTAAATTAACAATTTGTTGTTATTTCTTTCGATCATAATATATAGTAATTGATTGATTTTATGTTGAATGCTTTTTGTGATTAATTTTTTCTTCGTAAGTTTTTTTTATATGCTATAACTAGCATTGCCCGCGGCTCCGCCCGCGTTCCGATGACCAAAAACTAAATTCTTAGGTTTTACATATTAGTTTACTCTTACAATGCCGTTTTTGTATTTTTTCTCATAAATGAGACATTTTCCCGCGGTGAATAGTATCCTATGTTGACCCGGAGCACCAGCTATCATATCAAATTTAATCAAAATTGGTCCAGTGGTTTTCTCGTGACGCGGTAACAGACATACAAAAATTCTAAAAACTATAGATTCGGTCTCTGTATCGATAATAATGTTTATTTCAATTAGATTTTCCAAAAAATATTTAATGTACAGACTCGACTTGGTTACAATTTTATTATATGTATCTATAGAAAAAGTGACGTAATTTTATCGTGATGTTGTGGTGTTATAATAGAAGCTGTTCTATCCCACAAATCGCTTCAATAAATTCATATAAATGGTAAAAGATCACTCTAAATTCGATTGAATTTTTGTAATTTTAATTGTATCTAATAATATAATCAAGAAATAGTTATTTGGTCTGTTACAATAATCTAAAAGAGTTATTTTTACAAAAAAAACTTTGTGTTATATATAACAATATTTCTTGTGTAAATTCTAATAGAGAAACCACTGGAAAGCTCTTAATATCGCATTTATTTGGGAATTACATATGTATGAGAGTGATATGTATAATGAAGTCATGATTATTATTCTGTTGTACTGTTCTAACACTTTAGAAACGTATTTTGGAATAGAAAATCAACGAAATGAATAACAAGATAAGGAGTTAGCAAAAGAAATGCTCTGCTAATAAAATAATTTACAGCAAATGCCTTGTTCGAATGCATTCAAATTCCAACACATCTTGCGCTCTTTTTAGGTATTAACATAGCATCTACTAACGTGCGTCATCGCATTTTAACCCTGTAATAGTATGTAATATGTAAACTAAGGTTAATTAGTCCATTTTTATTTTGCATTTAATTGAAGTACTCTATATTGCTTATAATGTACTACTTTTGATCGCGATTGTACCGATTTGAAACGTCGATAGACTTCTTACTATGATTCTTAGGGATCTAAAATGTTTTAACCAAAAATGAAGAATATTAACCAAAAATGAAGGATAGAGCTCGTTATTCATGTTCGACCATCCATGTATTATGTTTTTCTAAGTATAATATACTCTTACGAATCACCCACGCTTCACTCGGGTCTAGGTACGTTTTAACAGTAAGTATGGAATAGATTTATTATATATAAATTCTGAGATAAGCGCGTTCAAACGAACCAACAAACTCTGCCACTTTATAATATTAGTATAAATTATTCATAGCACCAAAAATACTCAAAACGAATTTAACACTGTGCCCCTTATGTCATTTGAGTGTTATATGTTTTGTTTTTTGTTCATGTTGAAAATGTATGACGTTTATTGAACGTCAGCTGACCATGGTGTTAGAGTGATTTTATTGCTTGCAACGCGACGTCAAAGTTACAAAAAAAAAATGACCCCACGAGCTAGCGAAATCTAGAGGCTATCACAGCTTAACCTGGCGGGTTTCACAAAAAACGTATTGCACAAGTTGCTGTAAGCCCTTAAAGGTATGCAAAATAGGGTGAGGAAATAAAGAGAAATCCGCGGACATTATGTATGTATATTCATATATGTATGTATGTGTATTCATACGAAACAAAATTCATGATTATTGAAACGAACCGTTCCAAATATGCTGTTTCGTTTGTCGAATTCGTATCTAATACATTGGAATGAATAATTTTTAAGGCGATTTTCTTTTGCTAATTAGTATTATATTTGTTCTGCTGTTGTTGTACCTATTAAATGCTGTTGTGTATAATATGTAAGATATGAGTGAAGGTTACGTGACTATTTCAATTATAAGCAACTATCTCAGTAAATATGTCGTATAATTAAAACAGACCATGTGTAATTAAATTGATTACATTTTTATTATAATGAATGAATAAATTACTGTTGACAATAACATTCAATGGTAAATATATATAAATAGGAAATATGTTAATAGCTAATATTAAGAATGATCTACATTTTCCATATATTATAGTATTTAAATTTAAGTGTTTCAATGATGTTAATTAAATCTATACGTATAATAAAATTCTAACTGAAAACTTTTTTATTAAATATTTTTGAAAATCTTATTAAAATAGTGATCATTATCGATACATAGGCCCAATTTACAGATTTTAGAATATTTTTTTGTCTGTCTGTCTGGGAACGCATCACGAGTAAACCATTGGACCGATTTTGATGAAATTTGGTATGATGATAGCTGATTATCCGGGTCTACATATTTTTTAATGTGGGAGAATATCTCATCTCTGAGAAATCTACAATAAACGTTCAAACATAACTAGGGACGAACCCGAGGGGAGCTAGGGTGAGTCGCTAGTTTTATACATAAAATGTAACTGTTTTATAAACATTCTATTTTATGTAAGCATTTGAATGTTTTATAGTTTGTCAATACTATGAATAAATAATTAATCATATAATCGGCTTATTATAAATCGATTTCAAATTAATTATATAGGCGCCTTCACAGTCATAACAGTTCATAGAAAGTCCTTATATAAACATTTTGCGAGTTTGTTAAACAAAATCGATAGGCCACTATTAAAAGCATTACTAAACGCATATTTAATACTTAGAAACATCGTGACATAACAATCGAGTGATTTACGTATCAAAATTATTAGTCACAATTTTATATAAGCGGAATTGTTAAATTCCAGTTCGAAGAGTTGGTACTTTCGTAAATCTTCAGTTTGACCTGATGTTGACTCCACTTTAATCAATAGGATGTAATTGAGCTAAGATACCGGGCAACTGAGATGCGGTCATTGTAGAACAGCGCTCTTACGACTAAGTGCCAACTTGCATTCGTATGAGTTACCTACGGTACTTTTAAAGTTTTAATTATTTTATATACAGTGTTGACTAACGTCTTCGACTTGCAAAATTAGGTCTTTCGTATTTTTTTATTAATTCAAGGCACAAAAGCATTTTCTTTTATTAAAATAAATCGGGATATTTTTTCCGGGTTTATTTTGATTTCTGGTTTCCGACGTTTCGAATGCTTTACAGCAATCATATTCGCGGGAAAAATTACGGATTTAGATGTCTCAAAGACAAAAATAAATCAGTGAAAAAATCCGAAAAGATAGTTTTATTTGTGTTTTAATGTCAAATATTCGCGTAAATCTAAGCAAGTATTGAAAATGAATCCGGTTAGACGACCATAGAAAGTCCTTTAGAAGACTTATTCTGTTATTTTTATTTTGATATTATTAAAAATGTTATGAATAGCTGTAAGCTGAAAATGTACATTAAAACGGACGCACGGACAATTTTTTACAAACAGTACATTTTAATCAACGTTCCAATGGACAACGGGACGTCAACGCATTGTCCCATAGAAAGCCGTACGCCTGG